TTTTAAACTCTTTCTACAAATTTACTGACTGCGGCACCGGTGGTGTAGTGGTAAGCGTGATTGCCTCTAGAACTAAACTTACGGGATCTGAATAGTTTACCAAGTTCTCGATTTAAAAAATAATAATAAATGGTTCTTCATATATTTGATTTTAGAAAACCAAGTGTGATTTTTTTTCATGATCGACACTTCTATTCTTGTATAGATTTTTTAAGATCAGTTTACTAGCTCTACAATAATTTTTAATTTTCAAATCGAATTAATGGCTTACTTCAAAACCTATCCCGTTCTCATTCATTTGAAACTACGTTCTATCATGTGCTAAGCACCAATCAGCACCTTGCATCTGTTTTCATTCCGGACAAGTGCAGAGGTAGCTGGAACGCTCAGCCAAGTGCAGCAATGCTATCATATAGTCGGCAACCGACGACCTTTTCCTGGAAGGTTTTGAAAAGCAGATCAAACCGTCTTCCTTTTCCTTCATCACTCTTGCATAGTTTGTTTTAAACGCCATTTCTCGTTTCACTCTTTCGACCTTGTTATTCTAGGAAGTGCTAATGATTATACCGAACCAAGAGTCACACCAGAGCGCGAAACAGTGGAGGATTCCTGTGCCGGACGGAAAAATATCATTTTAATCCATCATATTCACGCTGTTCCATATCAACATCACCACCACCGCTTTCGTTCGTCACTTTTGATGTTCGGAAAATAAATGCTTCCCGGAAGTGGGTTATATTCCGCTCCTCACGCAGCCCACAGCCCAATGTATGTCAGATGCAACCTACGACAACTACAGAAGCAACGAACCAGCGAGCAAGCAGAGGGGCAGGATTTTCCCCCCGAATGAGGGTAGCACATTCAACAACATCGTCCGCAAAAGTTGAACACATAAACGAGATGGTACAAGGATATCGATTTTCTTTCGTCATTCACCCACCCAAAACACCCACCAGACACTCGTTGTGTAGGTGTAAACGAACGAACCCAGCATGATTTTCGTGGGATTTATGTTCTTTGCCCTACTTGGAACGATGGATGAAGGCTGTCGGAGCGGAACGCGCGCCGCAGGTTGTTATTTTCGAGCAAATCCCGACCCTTGGGGCTCGACCTCGCCTGCCAGCTGAACACGACGAAATCCCGGGATGCGCAGCAAATTCTCATTAGAAAATTGTCGTGTCTGTGCCTTCGTGGAATTACAATCCGAAAGGATGGGAGAATCATTTTTGTGTGACTCATCTATCAATCTCGGACCGGGATTCAGTTGGGATTGGGAGTATTATTTTTTTCTACTCCAACACAAAAGGAAATTTGATTCAATAAAGCAATGTACTATGCTAAAGAGAGAGAGAAAATAGTTAAGGCGCGATGAAGAGGAGTTTATACGAACATTGCGCAAGCAACGCAAATAGCCTGGGTGTGAAGGTCTTGCTAGCCGCTCGGGACAATTCTGAGAAAGTTTTAATTAGTTCGAAATCGCTGGTATCAGTATAAAAACGAACACCGAGTTTCATATTTTTACTTTCAACAGTGTTGACCAGAACATTTGCAACTTTTCGAATCTCAAGCTTGGGGATAAATGACACGACCAACACTGCATGTACCAACACTTGTTATCATCACAGTTTTTAGTGGAACTCGTTTTGCATTCTCGTGATTTCGCTGCGCTGTGCATGATGGACAGACAAATGACGAAACTAATTGGAAAGTGATTACCAGGAATTGTCCATTCGCAACAACAACAAAAAAAGACCAGTGGTGAACTGAGCTCGGTTCCACACGCGCATCGAATTACCCCAGTCGTCGTCGACAATCGAGTCTAACGGTGCCCAAACTGAACCGATTGAACTGCTGACTTCTCGTTTCGGGGAGTCTCGAATTGCGACACCTTCTTTCTCCGGTACCGTTTCGCGCAGTTTCTGTGCATTTGTTGTCAGGTCTGATATTCTTGTTGCTTTTCACCTTCTTTTTTTTTTTGTATTTGCTTCTATTTGCTGGGTCAAGTTGTGCTGACGGATCGCACTACAAGTCACCAGAGTGTCACATACCTACACGCGGAGGTTGTAATGGAACACGAAACACGAGAACAAGCTTCGATTTGTCGGCTGCGATCGACACATTTCTGTTGTCAAGAATTTATGTTATTGCTGGACTTTCGCTTTTCGGGCGTCATCGTAACGGTACTAGATTGGTGAGCAGATCCAAATACCATTAGTCATGCAATCTGAGCTTTTGAATGTGTGATACCGACAGGTAACAACCCGATGTGAACTATTGACTATGTACTGGGGTGGTGTTCTAAGAAATTGCTCCAATATAATGTTTTCGATGGAGAATGATTTAATTTAAAATGCTTGCAAACCCAAAAAGCAGTCATATATTTGCCTTCAGGGTTTAGTGGAATTCCTAATTTATTGTATATTTAATGAAAGGAGTATTCTCTTTTTAATTCAGGGACTATTTCCTACTTTATTGAATATTTAAAGAATATAATACTCTCTTCTCCATTAATTATTCGAAGAAGCGCCTGGTTTCCCACAATTCATTGATCCATTGAGAATTATTCATCTCCTTTGGATAAAAGCAAACGAAGAAATTTTCCATCTCTAAAATATTAATTTATTAAAATCACGTGCTGTTCTTTTCACACACACGGCCAATGAATCTGGCTCATATTTGAGTTGCGTTCACTCAAAATCGCAAAACCGTAGCGTCGCTCATAGATTGAGTAAAATATTACTCAAGTATGAATAAATGTCACGCATAGGTTATTCTTGGTCTTACAATCGGCAAATAAATCCAGTTGATCATTTTAAGCTTTAGACTCTATTTCCAACCAAAAGTTTGTTGTTTTTGCCTCATTAACAACTTGCTCTAGATGTGAATTCCGATTGAATTTGCTGTCCTTAATTAAGGCCTAAGTACTTTTTCGTTTTCGGATTTGAAAGATCGTCGGTTACAGTGGCCTGCTTACTGAGCAGAAAAACGCTGTCCCAGGTCCTTACATATCAAAGAGATTTATGGTAAAATCGCTTGTGTATCGTGTATTTTGCGAAACTCGTTGTTGTCGTTGGTTCCGGGTTTGAATGGATACACAAATTTGAGCAACGGTATTATGTGATATGAGGGGCTCGGTGGCCTTAGAGCAACCGTTTTTGCTTACTGAGCAGAACATCATGAGTCTAATCTCAGGCCCATCCACATTCAAGATTCGTCAATCGTTTTATTTGTTAATATGACTACATGGTAATAACAGCAACTCGGTGATGAAAAAGGTGCTCGTCTGCCTAGTGGCAAACGTTTTTGCTTACTGAGCAGAAGACCGTGGGTTTAGTCCCAAGCTCCTTCGCGTTATATGATCGTTAGGACATCAATTCAGCTTATCGTTTACCAAAACGAACCCTGCTGCAAACCCAACCCTCTTATCCAACATCCCAGTGATTCCTCGTAGAAGTGCGAAGGTGTTCTCGGCTTCCATCAAAGCGAGTGTCATGTCAACACAATCCTTCCCATTCCTTTCTTGACCTGTGTTCGGGCACGGCCGGTGCTGGTATTGCCTAATTTAAGATCACCAGTTTTTACACATTGAGGATGATTGCTAGTCCCAAGCATCGTCTATTGGTTCTCTGTGTAATTATAGCTGATCTTGCAGTAACAGAGTAGCAACCGTGGGCGGTCAATCAAGCTCAAGCTAAAGCTCAAGCTCATTAACAACTTGCTCTAGATGTGAATTCCGATTGAATTTGCTGTCCTGAGTTACTCCCAGATACTTGACTGTGTATTCCTTTCCATACTAGCCTTAGAAGGTTTATATTAAATCCTTTTCCAACACACCACGATCAAACATAATTTAGAGCAGTTTGTATTATTATGAGGATATTATCTGCGAAGCCTACGCTGCGCTTCCAATTGTTTTAGAAGTTCATCAACTATTGCAGACCATAATTGAGACGAAAACACTCCTCCTTGTTGACACTCTTTGACTACCCCATCTGTTATGGATGACCATGCAAATTTTGCTGAAATTTATCTTTTAGAATGCATCTCAGAAATCCAATCCACAATGCTTTTATTGGACTCATGTTTCATCGTAGCATTTTTCATTGAGTTATAAGAAATACTCCATCTCTCCAGTTTGAGCGAACAATTACTGACTACGAGCTACGAGCTGTACCGCATCGACGATCTGAGAAAGACCGAATAAAAATTTTCGTACAACTTATACGCACGAGATTAGAGCATAATGTTCCACCTATTTGCTATTACATGCACATTTTAGAATATTTTTATTTATTGTTAATACTTTGAGTTATTGTGTGTTTTGCCAACAGCAATTAACATTCGTAAAATCATGAAAAACGTCATGATGATGCAGATTAAAAAATTTTGCGCGGCGACGTATCGGAGAGAAATATTAAGACCCATATATTTTTCGAACTAAGTACTTTAAATTAATTGATTGTTACAGTGTGGAATTAAGACTAAATGCTCCAGAAGTTCACAGTTTTAATATCTGTAAAAAGTTCCTCTACATTTTGGTGAGGTTTAGAAGCAACTTCGAATAGTGAAATGATCAAGATGGTTTTCTAAAGGGAACAACCGTAAAAAACAACTAACAATTACTCCAACGATCTCCGTGTCTCATCTGTCTCAATAACGACCCAAACGCCCCACATGTGTCATGGCGCAATCGCTTGTTCTTAGAAACGCCACAAATGAACAACATCGTTAACAAAGAATCTCCTCAGTGACACCAATCCCACAAATAAATATTGAATTGCACACTACCGACGACGACCATGGCTGGATCTTACACCCAGCTGTCGTCAGCCATTGATAGGATGCATTCATTCATATTGTGTTCCCACACCGCACAAACCACAACTCAAATGCCCTGTCGTCGTTGTTGTTGTTTGTTGGTTGTAGGTTCATCTTTCCTGCGCCGCAAAGTTTACAAACATCTTGATAACCCCGGGCAACAGAACAGAAAATCGACTCACCTTTCGTGCTGCTTCCTTGGGTTGTGTTCAATATCTTCTCCTCACATTCCCCAGTCGAGCCCTGTCGCATCGATGCCATCGCACAGCGAGGACATTCCCCTGCACTGAATGGGTGTTCGTCGCTGCTGTGAGCTTCTGTAGCACTGATGTTGGAACTTTGGTTCAGCTTCAAATCACTCAACTTATCACTCATTTCACACACTGAACTAGCCGTAACCATCAAATGGGACTGACTGGACCTTGGGTAGCGGCACTGGCGAGCAATTGTTGCTGCTGTCGCAGCTGCTGCTGATGCTGTTGCCTAGTACGATTCAGGACATTGGCATTGTTGCTCATGCTGTTGGAAGTGCTATCACAGATCACGTTTCCGGAGTAGGAAGTCGTGGAATTGGAGTGGCAGTGGTGGCAACCGCCAGGAAGGAAGACGTCGGACACGTCCACGGTCCAATGTGATGATGGTGGTGGTGATGGTGATGATGGTGATGGTGCAGCAGATGATGATGATTGCTCAGGATATCACTGATCAATGAAGCTTCATTGTTATTTGCACAATCATTTGATGCCGAGATAGCACTGGCCGGTGTTGTCACACCAACGCTTGGAAGTGGGTTTCCATTGATTGTTTCAATATTGTTGACACTATCGGTTTACTACAATTACAGCCACATTTGGCGGCCGTTTGTTCTGTAGAATTGTTATTGTTATTAGCACTGATGGTACCGTAAATCGGAGGCGTTGATGGGCTGCTGCTGGTAGAAGGTGCTAAACTAATCGGACAGTTATTGTCTCGTAACAGCCACACTTGGGATGCATCGTCGCTGTGGGTGGTAACGACGACGGTTCCGGACCACCATCGGTTTCCTGCTGTTGGGAAGAGGGTGTCTCACAAGCAATCCCGGATCCCTTCTTCACCACCGCCTACCGGCTCTTGGCTCGGTTCCATCTTCAACATACAAATCGTTATAACCAAACTACT